CCCCTCCCCCCCCCCGTATTCTTAGGCCAATGACCTGGATTACGTTGGGTTACCGTCGTTTGGGGCAATCGGATGGCCCATGCCAAGGGTTGGGGAGAGGTGGAGCACCCCTCCCCCCCCCGTATTCTTAGGCCAATGACCTGGATTACGTTGGGTTACCGTCGTTTGGGGCAATCCGATGGCCCGTGCCAAGGGTTGGGGAGAGGTGGAGCACCCCTCCCCCCCCCCGTATTCTTAGGCCAATGACCTGGATTACGTTGGGTTACCGTCGTTTGGGGCAATCGGATGGCTTGTGCCAAGGGTTGGGGAGAGGTAGAGCACCCCTTCCCCCCCGTATTCTTAGGCCAATGACCTGGATTACGTTGGGTTACCGTCGTTTGGGGCAATCCGATGGCCCGTGCCAAGGGTTGGGGAGAGGTAGAGCACCCCTTCCCTCCTGTATTCCTAGGCCAATGACCTGGATTACGTTGGGTTACCGTCGTTTGGGGCAATCAAGTCCCCGGAACCCAAGTGATGGAATCCATCCGGATCGGACCCCGGATGGGTTTGATCGAACCCATTCGGATGGAACCCATCCGGATCCGGATCTGGATCGATCGAACCCATTCGGATCCGAGTCGATCGAACCCATCCTTATCGAGCCGATCCGGATCCGGATCGATCGAACCCGTGTGGATCAAACCCATCCGGATCCGGATCAATTGAACCCATCCGGATCCGGATCGATCGAACCCATCCGGATCCGAGTCGATCGAACCCATTCGGATAGAACCCATCCCTATCGAGCCCATCCGGATCCGAGTCGATCGAACCCATTCGGATCGAACCCACCCGGGTCCGGATCGATCGAATCCGTCCGGATCCGGATCAAATGAACCCTTTCGGACCCAAGCCCATCCGGATCCGGATCGATCGAACCCATCCGGATCCGAGCCGATCGAACCCATCCGGATCCGAGTCGATCGAACCCATCCGGATCCGGATCGATCGAACCCATCCGGATCCGGTTCGATCGAACCCATTCGGATGGAATCGATCCGGATCCGAGTCGATCGAACCAATCCGGATCCGAGTCGATCGAACCCATTCGGATCGAACCCATCCGGATCCGAGTCGATCGAACCCATTCGGATCGAACCCATCCTTATCGAACCCATCCGGATCCGGATCGAACCCATCCGGATCCGGTTCGATCGAACCGATTCGGATGGAATCGATCCGGATCCGAGTCGGTCGAACCCATTTGGATCGAACCCACCCGGGTGCGGATCGATCGAACCCATCCGGATCCGGTTCGATCGAACCCATTCGGATGGAATCGATCCGGATCCGAGTCGATCGAACCAATCCGGATCCGAGTCGATCGAACCCATTCGTATCGAACCCATCCGGATCCGAGTCGATCGAACCCATCCTTATCGAACCCATCCGGATCCGGATCGATCGAACCCATCCGGATCCGGTTCGATCGAACCGATTCGGATGGAATCGATCCGGATCCGAGTCGATCGAACCCATTTGGATCGAACCCATCCGGATCCGGATTCACCGGCCCCATTCGTATCGAACCCATTCGGGTCCGGATCGATCGAACCATCAAGGTCAAAGCCTAGGCAGGGTATTCCTATGCCAATGGCCTGCATTGCGTTGGGTTACGATTGTTTGGGGCAATCAAGAACCGAAACCCAAGTGATGGGGAGTGGTAGAATGCCCCATCCCTAGAGTATTCCTAGGCCTATGACCTGGATTACGTTGGGTTACCGTCGTTTGGGGCAATCCGAAAACACATGGCCGAATGATGGGGAGAGGAAAAATACCACTTCCCTAGGGTATTCCTAGGCCTATGACCTGGATTACGTTGGGTTACCGTCGTTTGGGGCAATCCGAAAACACATGGCCGAATGATGGGGAGAGGAAAAATACCACTTCCCTAGGGTATTCCTAGGCCTATGACCTGGATTACGTTGGGTTACCGTCGTTTGGGGCAATCCGAAAAAATATGGCCGAATGATGGGGAGAGGAAAAATGCCACTTCCCTAGGGTATTCCTAGGCCTATGACCTGGATTACGTTGGGTTACCGTCGTTTGGGGCAATCCGAAAACACATGGCCGAATGATGGGGAGAGGAAAAATACCACTTCCCTAGGGTATTCCTAGGCCTATGGCCTGGATTACGTTGGGTTACCGTCGTTTGGGGCAATCCGAAAACATATGGCCAAATGATGGGGAGAGGAAAAATACCACTTCCCTAGGGTATTCCTAGGCCTATGACCTGGATTATGTTGGGTTACCGTCGTTTGGGGCAATCCGAAAACACATGGCCGAATGATGGGGAGAGGAAAAATACCCCTTTGCTGGGGTATTAATAGGCCTATGGCATGGATTACGTTGGGTTGCCATCGTTTGGGGCAACCTGTTTATGCGTTCATGGGATGCCAAGATTGACCCTTGGGACCCCCCAGCCGGGTCATTTGATCCCAAGGGCGGATTTGAACCGGCCCATGGGTTCATCCAATTCAAGAGCCCATCCCCGCTCGGCCATTCTGACCCCCCCAGCCGGTTCATTTGACCCCAAGGGCGGATTTGAACCGGCCCATGGGCTCATCCAACCCTTGGGCCCATCCCCCCTCGGTTTTTTTACCCCCCACCCGGTCCATTGGACCCCTAGGGCGGATCTGAACCGGCCCATGGGCTCATCCAACCCAAGATCCCATCCCCCCTCGGTTATTTGACCCCCCAGCCGGTCCATTGGACCCCAGGGGCGGATTTGAACCGGCCCATGGGTTCATCCAACCCAGGAGGATCCCATCCCCCCTCGGTTATTTGACCCCCCACCCGGTTCATTCGACCCCAAGGGCGGATTTGAACCGGCCCATGGGTTCATCCAATTCAAGAGCCCATCCCCCCTCGGTTTCTTTTACCCCCCAGCCGGTTCATTTGACCCCAAGGGCGGATTAGAACCGGCCCATGGGTTCATCCATCCCTTGGGACCACCCCCCCTCGGTTTTTTTTTACCCCCCGCCCGGTCCATTGGACCCCAGGGGCGGGTTTGAACCGGCCCATGGGTTCATCCAACCCAGGATCCCATCCCCCCTCGGTTATTTGACCCCCCCGCCGGTTCATTTGACCCCAAGGGCGGATTTGAACCGGCCCATGGTTTCATCCGACCCAAGAGCCCATTCCCCCTCTGTAATTCGACCCCCCAGCCGGTTCATTCGACCCCAAGGGCGGATTTGAACCGGCCCATGGGTTCATCCAATTCAAGAGCCCATCCCCGCTCGGCCATTCTGACCCCCCCAGCCGGTTCATTTGACCCCAAGGGCGGATTTGAACCGGCCCATGGGCTCATCCAACCCTTGGGCCCATCCCCCCTCGGTTTTTTTACCCCCCACCCGGTCCATTGGACCCCTAGGGCGGATTTGAACCGGCCCATGGGCTCATCCAACCCAAGATCCCATCCCCCCTCGGTTATTTGACCCCCCAGCCGGTCCATTGGACCCCAGGGGCGGATTTGAACCGGCCCATGGGTTCATCCAACCCAGGAGGATCCCATCCCCCCTCGGTTATTTGACCCCCCACCCGGTTCATTCGACCCCAAGGGCGGATTTGAACCGGCCCATGGGTTCATCCAATTCAAGAGCCCATCCCCCCTCGGTTTCTTTTACCCCCAGCCGGTTCATTTGACCCCAAGGGCGGATTAGAACCGGCCCATGGGTTCATCCATCCCTTGGGACCACCCCCCCTCGGTTTTTTTTACCCCCCGCCCGGTCCATTGGACCCCAGGGGCGGGTTTGAACCGGCCCATGGGTTCATCCAACCCAGGATCCCATCCCCCCTCGG